TAGACTGCTCCAAAAAAAAAGTTGGTCGAAGAAAAAAAGTGTCATCCAGATTCGAAAAATATACCTCAAAAAAATAGGTTTGGTCCAAAAAAATCATATGGGTACTATATAAAAACCCATGGCAAGCCCCATATCAAATTTTTCATGACAGCGATTTCGGAAGACATTTTAGATCGTAACATTTCGACCGATTCCATTATTCCAGCCAACTTTTGGCAAAAACTGATGATGAGGTTTTGTTTGGCTTGTCAATATCTATAACTTTTATTACGACATCAGCTCTTGAAAAGGCCTTCTGGGCCAGTTACAGTGTAAAATGACCAAAAAAATGGCAATTTTTCGGCATTTTTCGCATTTTTTGCTCTACTGGTCACCCAGATGGTAGACTTTTGTTCAATTTTCGACTTGTGTCGTGTAGCCAGGGGCCGTATAAATAATTTGGTACTGTCAGATTGCGATTTGGATGGAATTTGGCGACAATTGATTCACACATATAAGACAAATTTCTGGCCAAAATGAGCAAATCACAAACATGAGCTTCGGTTTGACAGGTAAAAGCGAATGATTTCTACCTTTTCTGCCTTTGAACATCTAGTATGGTTCCTTACGAACATTTTGGGTACTTACATGACCAAATCGAATGATGTTTTCACATATTTCTGGCCTCATATTCAATTTCAACTCCCAAAAAATCGACTTTTGACCAGAAAATCCTTAATTATAGGTTTTTAGGGATAGTGTCTTGATGCAATGCTATTTTTTTCGAAAATATGGGGAGTCTTCCCAGACAAAAACTCTCAAAATTGACTTTTTAAAGTACCTCCCGAACTAAAGGTACGTTTTTCATGCATTTTTCTATGAAATTATCAATTTTTGTTCATGCAGAACAGAAATGCAGAAAAGGTAGAAATCATTTGCTTTTACCTGTCAAACCGAAGCTCATGTTTGTGATTTGCTCATTTTGGCCAGAAATTTGTCTTATATGTGTGAATCAATCGTCGCCAAATTCCATCCAAATTGCAATCTGAGAAGTGCCAAATTATTTATACGGCCCCTGGCTACACGACACAAGTCCAAAATTGAACCAAAGTCCACCACCTGGGTGGTCAGTAGTGCGAAAATGCAAAAAATGCCGAAAAATTGCCATTTTTTCGGTCATTTTACACTGTAATCGATCCAGAATGCCTTTTCAAGAACTGATGTCTTGGTAAAAGTTATAGATATTGACAAGCCAAACAAAACCTCATCATCATATGATTTTTTTGGACCAAACCTATTTTTTGAGGTATATTTTTCGAAACTGGATGACACTTTTTTTCTTCGAACAACTTTTTTTTTGGAGCAGTCTAGAGCTCCATCATATATTTTTATTCATGTCGCTGGAACGATAGATTTTTTCATGCTCTCCCATTTCAACCAAAAACAAATATCATAGATAATGGCTGTTTTAAGTATATCTAACTAATATATTGAAATCAAGTAAACTTCCTCCGTAATTCTTCATCGTACCATTTTTCAGCTGAAGAATGACATTTATCCGCTTGTTTCAATAAAATTAAATATTATGAAATGACATGTGTGCTTAAAACAAGTTGGACCGTGGGTTTATCTGCAAACAGAGAGTCAAATATATTAGAGCAGAAGAGCATAAAAAATCTGTCTTCGAAGCTAGAAGCCTATTTGTGTCTTGCAAATTTTTTCCAACCCCAAATTCAGACATCAGATCTTGTTAAACTCGCATTTATTTCATCTGGCCTTTCGGGATTTGTAATTAGATTGTACGTTGAATCGCCAAATAAACTGAATTAAATATCATGAGGAAATGTGTTGTGTATTATTTATATTTCTTTGGTGCAAATCAATAATTCCAACATAAACGATTAGACGTTAAATTGTGAGTATTGTTTGGAAAATACGAGGTTCCCTCAAATCGGTGCTAAAATTCATGGCTTAAGAATCGCACTGAGTGGACCCCGTGAGTAGCGCAATGCATCACAATGTCGTGTGCGCTATACGCACACGAACGGACGACGAACTGTTCACAAATTTCCAAATAAAAATGAGTTTACCACTGTCCGTTCAATGTGCACTCAAATACTCACAGCAGACACGCATAATAAAGAAAAACATGTCCGTGCCTGTATTTCGACTATGTTGAACCTACTACTATTACTTCTTCTTCTTATTTTTTCGGCCAAACGAAGATCCGTACAAAGCAAAGAAGAAGTAAGTGAGCACACAACTCAGTTTTTATGAGAAAAGCATCGCACCCAAGCGCTGTGGCTCTCTTATGAAATATAGAAGTAAAAAAATGCAATTCTTATTACTTCATTACCTACTTATTACTGTAATGAGATGACCTATTACTTATTACTCATCTTATTACTTGTAATAAGATGTATTACTTTGTAATAAGATGCGTAATAAGTAATAAGATCATCTTATTACGGTAATAAGATTGTAATAAGTATCTTGGACCAAGAGCCCACCGTACAAACAACTTTTTTTCTTGTGCACTGCAG